GACTGCAGAGGCAGGAGTGGAATCAGGAGACCTCACTGTTGCAGGTCTCCGAGGTGGGAGCTGATGGTGGCTTGGGTGAGGGTAAACAGTTAGATTCTAGGTGTGCTGTGAAGGCAGAGCTTGCCGAACCCGCAGAGGGATTGAAAAAAGCGTCTCCTTTCTACCAGCTGCTGGCCTCTCTTGTGAAGGCCAGGCTGAGTACATAGTTATCTAGCATTCTGCAGTTACTTATTTTTCATCTGTATATCTTGCCACCTTGTCTAGTCTTTGAATTCCTTTCGGGAAGAAACCATTTTTGTTTATGTCTCCAGGAGCCAGACAGTGGGGCCGAATGGTTAAAAGTGTTAGTTGTCTGTGTTAGGTTAATGTTTTAACTGCTTAGCCGCTACTCCTCCTCCTCCTTCTCTTCTTTTTCCTTCTCCTCCTCCTCTTTTTTAATCAAGTGAGGACGGCAATGGTTTTTTTTTTTTTTATGGCTTTTGAGAGTGAAGTGAGATTTGCGTGAAAGTGCCTTGTTGACTGATTGTGATGTCTCACGCCTATAATACCAGCACTTTGGGAGGCCGAGGTGGGTGGATTGCTTGAGCCCAGGAATTTGAGACCAGCCTGGGCTACATGGCAAAACCATCTAAGTTGGAGCACTTTTCCCCTTCCATGTCTTGGTTTTCCTTCATGTGAAAGGGAAGGCGACGCTTACTTAAAAAAGTGGAAACTCTCAAATAATTTACATTGTATTCTAAGTGTAAAAGGTCACGTCGAGGGTGATGGAGAAGCCATTACATGTCGCTTGAGGGAAGTGAGTGTCTCTAGTGAATCATTATGAGTAAACGGATTTGGTGCTGCAGCATGAGCAATACAAAACGTTTATGTAGTAATCACCAAATTGTGTGGATCCAACCAGAATAAAAAAAATGCCTGAGCTTTGGCTTAGGGCCATGACTGAACGGGAGCATGAAGCCTGGCATGGAACAGAAGGAATGAAAGGCATGGATGTAGCACAGCGATAGACATAAATAGATGCAAGTTTAAGCAGAGATGAAAATACGTGGCTGCCGCTGTTTCCCTCTGCACTCACGGCAGGCTCAGAGCTGGAATTAGAACTCTGGCAGCAGAACTCCCAGAGCCTGTTGTCTAAGTGTTACACTTCGCTTTCTCCAGATATACCCAAATGTTACCCCAGAATCCTTCTACCAGTAGATTAATTCCCCCTGGCTTCATTAAGATAGTGGGGTTCAGGTTTATTTTACAGTTGCTGTTCATTTGTTCACCCACTCATTCATTTGTCCACAATTTAAACACTACTTTTGTGCATCTGCCTTATGCCAGGCACGGTTAGGTGCCAGGGATAAAACAATCGTGAATAAAACGTGAATAAAACAATCTCGGCTTGGGGCTACATTTAGTGGAAGCAACACTTCTTGTTTAGGGCTATCAGTGGTGGGAGGACCCAGGGTTTGTGTGATTTGCCACAAATTTAATGGTGCCGTTTTCTGTACTGAACCAGAAAATCTTCTAATTGGTGAAGAAAATCAGCAACAATCTGAAAAATAAAATATGGCTCCCTACACTTCACCCTGGACTGGAAATTGGGCCGCCTGCCATCATTTTCTGACCAAGCTGATTTAGCTATTTGACCTTGGGCCTCAATTATAACTCATGTTCAAGCAATGGTTTCTCATACATTAGTTTACTTTGCTCCTTCCAATACCTGATGGGTGAGAGAGGACCATTTCTAAGGAGGTCTCTGATGTGTAGAGAGGTTATATGACCTGTCTAGTTCTCACAGCTGGTAGGAGAAAAGCTAGGGCTAAAACCCAGTTCTAACTTCTGTCACCATTTTTTTTTTTGGAGACAGTCTCTGTCACCCAGGCTGGAGTGCAGTGGCATGATCTCAGCTCACTGCAACCTCCACCTCCCAGGTTCAAGCAATCCTCCTGCCTCAGCCTGTTGAGTAGCTGGGACTACAAGTGTGTGCCATCATGCTCAGCTAATTTTTGCATTTTTAGTAGACATGGGGTTTCACCATGTTGGCCAGGCTGGTCTCAAACTCCTGACCTTGTGATCCCCTCACCTTGGCCTCCCTAAGTGCTGGGATTACAGGCATGAGCCACCGTGCCCAGCCTATCACCTTGTTTTTATTATCTCATTATGCTGTCATCTTAATGTTTTTAACTTTTCAGTTTCCCCATCTTTAAAATAAGGAAATTAAACTGTGTGGTTTGTAAAAGTAAGTTCCCTCCCTCTCCTCTCTCCCTCCTTCCCTTCCCTTCTCTCCCTCTCTCCTTCCCTCCCTCCCTCTCTCCTTCCCTCTCTCCCTCTCTCCTTCCCTCCCTTCCCTCCCTTCGTTTTCTCGCTCCCTCCTGTTCCTGGACCAAACTGAGGGTCAGGCTGCTATTTCTCAGGGCCCAATAACGAGATGCAGATGAACTGGGGAGGAAGATAATTTTTATTTCTATAACTGGTTACAGGGAGAAGGCCAGGAAATTATCACTAGACCAACTCAAAATTACAAAGTTTTCTAAACTGTATGTCTACATGTAAGTGTGCGTTCATCTAAAGACATTAGTGATTAATTTCTTTTAATCTGTAACTAAGGTCTGAGTCCTGAAGACCTTCCTTTAGAGCCTCAGTAAATTTACTTAATCTAAATGGGTCCAGGGGCTGGGGTGGTTACTTATCTTGTCTCCTGCTAAATCAGGGAGGTTCAGGGAGTTCCTTTAGACCCCCAATAAACTTGTTTGTGGAGGCCTGGGGAGTTTCTTCAGACCCCCATTAAAACTTGTTTAATCCTAAATGGGTCCTGTTAAGAATTCCTTTGTTATTTTGTCATGCTTTAGTGTCCAGGCAAAACTTTTGGTGGGCTTTTGTTGCATTCCAGCCTTTGTATAAGGGCACTGGCTCAATCAGCTTTTAATGTCTACCCTAGTTAGTCAGTCAGTGCTGGGACAGTTGTGATGGAAGCCTTCGGTATTGAGACCTAGCCTCCCTCCCTTCCTCCCCTCCTTTCTCCTCCCCTCCCCACCTCCCTCCCTTTGTTCCTTCCTTCCGTCCTTCCATCCATCCTTCACTGGAGTTCCTACTATGATCAAGACATTATGCTAGAAGCTGGAAATAATGTTACACAAAACACATGCACAGACCCCATTAAGAAAGTTAAAAAGCCACCCAAAGAATGGGAGAAAATATTTGCAAATTATACATGTGGGACTTGTATCTAGGATATATAGAGAACCCTTACAACTCAATAATAAAAATACAAACAACTCAATTACAAAATTGACAAAAAAATCTGAATAGACATTTCTCCAGAGAAGCTATACAAATGGCCAGTAAGCACATGAAGAAATACTCAACATCGTTAGCCATCAGGGAAATGCAAATCAAAACCATAGTGAGATACCACTTCACACCTACTAGGATAACTATACTCAAAAGATGGACATTAACAAGTACTGGCAAGAGGTGGAGAAACTGGAACCCTCATACACTGCTGGTGGAATTGTAAAATAGTGTGGCCGCTTTGGAAAACAGTCTGGCCATTCATCAAATGATAGCCATAGAGTTAACCTATGACACAGAAATTCCACACTTAGGTATACGTCCGTGAAAGGAAAATAGATCTCAGGACTCCCAAAATCACTAAGCCAAAGGGAAGTCAAACTGAAACTGTGTTAGGCAAACCTGCCTCCCATTTTATTCCTACGCAATCTAGCTACAAAGATAAAAAAGCTACATACCTCCCTCACAATTTGCCCACAAGGAAATTCCTTGTGGACAAAAGACAGAGAGAATTCAGTCATTCCTTGCTCATGTGAGACCAATGCATGCCTGATTGCTTCCTCCACCCTATTATTTCACTAAGCCAGACTAAGGCATAAGTGACTATTCCTCTACCCTCCTCTCACATGTAAATTGTGTATTCAGTAAAAGGCTAACCAGAGACCAAAACATGCAACAGTTTGTCTCACATCTACCTGTAATCTAGAAGCCCCCAACCTCATTTCTAGTTGTCCCACCTCTCCAGACTGAACCAGTGTACATCTTACATATATTGATTGATGTCTCATATTTCCCTATAATGTATAAAACCAAGCTGTGCCCCGAACACCTTGGGCACATGTTGTCAGGACCTTCTGAGGCTGTGTGACAGGCATGTGCTTAACCTTGGCAAAATAAACCTCCTAAATGGATTGAGATCTGTCTCAGATACTTTTGGGTTCACACATCCATGAGAAATGCAAACATATGTCCACACAAAACTTGTACCTGAGTATTCATTCACAGAAGCATTATCAAATAGGCAAAAGGTAGCAACAACCCAAATGCCCATCAGCTGATGAATGGATACATAAAATGTGGTAGATCCTTAAGATGGAATATTATTCATCCATAGGAAAGATGTACTGATACTCATTAAAACATGGCTATATCTTGAAAGCATTATCCTAAGTGAAATAAGTCAGTCACAAAAGGCCACTGATTATATGATTTCATTTATATAAGATGTCCAGCATATATATAGACAGAAAGTAGATCAGTGATTCCCAGGGGTGAGGGAGGGGAATGGAGATTGACTGCTAATGGTTATGAGATCTATTTTTGGGATGATGAAAATGTTCTGGAATTGATTATGATGGTTGTACAACTCTGCAAATATACTAAAAAACCAATGCGTTTTTCACTTTAAGTAGGTGAATTGTCTGGTATGTGAGCTATAACACAATAAGGCTATCATGTACTTATTTTATTTTATTATTATTTTTTGGAGATGGAGTCTCGCTTTGTCACCCAGGCTGGAGTGCCATTGTGCAATCTTAGCTCACTGCAACCTCTGCCTCCCAGGTTCAAGTGATTCTTCTGCCTCAGCCTCCCAAGTAGCTGGGACTACAGGTGTGTGCCACCATGCCTGGCTAATTTTTGTATTTTTATTAGAGATGGGGTTTCACCATGTTAGGTGAAACTTGAACTCCTGACCTCAGGTGATCCGCCTGCCTCAGCCTCCCAAAGTTCCGAGATTACAGGTGTGAGCCACCACACCTGGCCTATGTACATATTTAAAAAACACTAGCATGGTCTCTGTGCTTGTGGAAAACAGTCTTGTTGGAGAGATAATTTTAATCAAATAATTATACAAAATTATCTAACAGTTACAAATTATAGTGAAGGAAAAGAATCCCATATTATGAAAGAGACTAGCTGGAGGCTAATGGGGGGGGCGGTAGGTAAACATTCAAGTGCTCTTACAGAGATCCCCAAGTAACACTGGCTTAAATAAGGTAGATGTTCCATTCTTGCTGATCTATCAGTGCAGGTGTAAGCGGTCTAGGGTGCATATGGAAGCCTCACCATTTTGGGGCTCTTCTGGCATGCTGCTCTGCTGTTCCCTGGGGGCTGCACTCATCTGCATGGTCCACAGTGGCTCTCCACCATGCCTACAGTCCAAGCCTGAGAAGAGGGAGGGAAACAGTACAAAACTCGGCACTCCTGCTCATATTCAGCACTTTGTCACACCAGGTGAGGAAACAAAGTCAGATGTTCATCTGTTCAGATACCACTTAAGGGTTCTATTAGGAGAAGAGAATATATATTGGGCAAACAATTAGCAATCTCTGCCATAGATGGCCTCTCTAAGGAAGTGACATTGAAAGCAAGAACCTCGGCATAAGTTGATGTTAAAGAGACAAACGAGTTTTCCAGGCCAGGGGGATGGCATATGGAAGGGCCATGAGGCAGGAAAGGCCAGCTACCACATTTAATGATGCTTAATGATGTGCGTGTCTACTGTGCACATCCCCTCCAGATTTTTTTTTTTTTTTAACAGAGTCTCTGTGGCCCAGGCTGGAGTGCAGTGGTGCAATCATAGCTCACTGCATCTTCCAATTCCCAGGCTCAAGTGATCCTCCCACCACATGCCACAATGCATGGCTAATTTTTTGTTTCTAGTAGAGACAAAGTCTCTCCGTGTTGCCCAGGCTAGTCTTGAACTCCTGGGCTCAAGAGATCCACCCATGTCAGCATTCCAGACTGCTGACCTGGCCCCCTCCGATGTTTATAACTCATGAGTACCAGGACCAGGCCTGGTACTGGGAAGCAGCTGCATTGGATTTACCAGGCTTTTCACTCTTGTATTTTACAGGGCTGGGACAGGCCTGGACTGCAAGGAGGGGTCTTTGCACCATCTCTGAAAAGCCTATGTGTATCCTCAGCTTTGAGAACTGAATTCCATGGGTTGTGTCAGTGTCAGACCTGTGAAATTCAGTTCTTCAGCTGGGATATCTCTGTCGTCGTGGGCTTGAGGACACTGGAGAGAGTAGATCATGGAGAACTTCAGTCTGCTGAGGAGCTTGGAAGACTGGAGACAGAAGGCAGAGTCTCAGGCTCTGAAGGAATAAGGAGTGTGGGTTCCTGTGAGAAACACTCATTTGATTGTGAAAAGACTTGAGTTCTATGCTAAGCAGGGTTCCAAGTAGCTAAATGAATGATCTCAGCAAGTCTTTCTTGCTGCTGCTGCTGCTGCTGCTACTCGTTTACATTTATTGATTACTTAACGATGATTCAGGTACTGTCGTAAGTGCTTTACATGCTGTTATAGGAGACTCTTGGGAGAAATCTCTTTAATGAAGCTTGAGACACATGGCATTGCCATGCAATGATTTTTTTCCCCCTCTTCACGGAATCAGAGGGAATAACAGAATGTGACAATGATTCTTTAGCATGGACTGCTGAGGCTTCTGGTTCCTTTTTAAGATCTGTGGTGAAAGAAGATGAGAAACATGGGTATGCCCTTCTTTTCGTCCCCTTCTTCCTTTATTTGAATCTTTACTTCCTTCTATAAATATATTAGGGCTACATTGTCCCCTTGTATTTCAAACAAGGCAAAAAGAGGTTGTAATTAGACTTTACTGCAATCCTCAGTTTCTCCACGGAACAGGAATGCAAAGGTTTTGAAGGCCTCTCTATTTGCTGACATGGTCAGCTGGGTGCCGTGGGCCAAGTCCTTCTGTTGCCCTCCTCTGTCACCAAGTAAGCTAGGTCCATTCTGAGGCTCAGGTTTGCTGTGATGATGACCACTTTTAGGCAGAAAGTTAGAGGTCTCACGAGTGCTATATAGACTTTATCAGGCTTTAGATTTGATGGGGAATAAGGAATGTGACTTGTCTTTTGGGAACTGATTTTTGATTCATCATTGTCTCTTGGTGTCCTGGAATTTCCATGTTATTACAGTCTACTGAACGAAAGAGTAACCTGTGCCAGAGGAGAGGCGAGTGAAAGACTCCACAGCATGCTCATTCTCAGTCTGTCTTCTCAGTGCCACCGAGGTTTACTGAGTACCCACTATGTGCTGAGCACTGTGCTCAGGGCTTTGTATGCATGATCTCAGTGAATCTCACCAAGCCTCATCTGGAAAATGGGGACAAATTAACAACAGGATGGCAAATTAAAAAACACGTAACCACGTTCTACAGATGCAAAGGGGTGCTTGGTTATTATGAAGGCCCCCCGGCAAGTGTGTGGGACATGGGTGCGTTCTCTGGGTTGTACTGATCAGATCAAGGACCTCCCCCACCCTTCTCACATTCTGCCCACTTCCGCCCTTTGCTTATCAGACCCTTAGCCAGTGACTCATTCTAGAACCAGAACCTTGGTGAAATCTCAACTGAGACCAGAGATCGGTGTCTTCAGTCCTAGACTGATGGAGAAAATCCAGAATGTATACTAGAAGTTCCAAGTGCTCTGGGTTTCACCTCGTCTGTGCTGTAGACACTGACTTTGGCTCAGAACTCCGATTTAGTACAAAAGGCTCATTTTAATTTCAGGGGCACTATTCCTGAAGCAAACCTAATAAATGAAATATGGAATTCGCAGATACACACACACATTAAAAAATTAACCTGGTGTATCTGTGAAGAGTAGGCAGAAATTCACTGTATAAAAGAATGCTTCATTTTATAAAGAGTTTGTGTTAAGATTCCATTAGATAGTACATTTCTCAAAGATTTTTGAGGTTGTATTTGCTTTATCAAAACTTGGTTTATGTAAGTGGAAAAAGCATGTTGCAAAATCACTTGGTGTCTATGATTCAGTTTATGTAAAATAATAAATGTATGTAGGAATACTTGTGTTGAACGATGTACATTGATTTGTTGACAATGATTATCTCTGAGATGGTGGGATTTGAGATGTGTTTTTCTTTTTTTTTGTATTTTTCTCTGTTGTTTGACTTAGAACATGTTTAGTTACAATAATAAAGTTATTGAAGACAATATAACACCCAATTGTGATGAGTCCAGACAGTACTCATGCTGTGCATTTCTTAGACAGTATGTTGTACAGGTGGGTCATGGAGGAGTGGAGAGAGAGCCCTGATTTGTTGTCCCACGAAGAAGAGAGGCACAGGATAATATGTAGTGTGATTCTTTTTTTTTTTTTGCAAGAGGAGAAATGTGTGTGTGTCCATGTAAGTGTATGGATGTCCAGTGGGTAGTGGGTGTTAAGATTGCAAGTGATTTTTTTGCTCGCTTCCTTAATTATGCTTTTCTGCCTAAATAAAAAAAGAGCACTCTCCAAAAATCCATCCATGTGTGCCAGTACTTTTAAATGTGTTTCTTGGACCAGCAGCATCAGTATCACCTGTGACTTTTTTTGAGTCACTCTGTCACCCAAGCTGGAGTGTGGTGGCACAATCTTGGCTCACTGCAACCTCCACCTCCTGGGTTCAAGTAGCTGGGATTACAGGAGCCTGCTACTATGCCCGGGTAATTTTTGTATTTTTAGTAGAGATGGGATTTTGCCTTGTTGGCCAAGCTGGTCTTAAACTCCTGACTGCAGGTGATTCGTCCACCTCAGCCTCCCAAAGTGTTGGGATTACAGGCATGAGCCACCACGCTTAGCCTGAGAATGACTTTTGGATTAGCCAACCAACCTGTGAACTTTTTAGAAATGTAAATTTTCAGGCCCCACTCAAGACCCCCTGAATAGAAAACTCTAGGGGTAGGGCCCAGCAATTTCTGTTTTACCAACCCTTTGGCTGACTTTTATGCACACTAAAGTTTTAGTACTGATAGGGTCAATCAAGGGACATCTCCATTCCCCTGGAACTGAAATACAGCTGACATTGACATGAAAGATGCTGGCCCACTCCTACAAGTATGCATGCAAGTATTCCACAAAACTTATTTCTGAGAGATGAACAACAGGACCACAAAACTTCAAGATCATTAAAGTGATATTTCCACCAGTGAATGGTAGATCTCTAGGTTTTTAATGTGCAAACTTTAGGTGCATAAAACCACCTGAAGAAGTTGTCAATTAAGGCAGACTCCTGGGTCATACCCCTGACCCACAGACTAAGCATTTCCAGGGATCTGTCATTTTAGCCATCCCTCACTGAATGTCATCAAGGAGGTCCTAGGACAACACTTAGAGCAACTATTCTAGGCTTTTTCAAATGCTGTTTTCCCCCTCCATACTGTTATGTTTCTTCTTTCCAATTCATCCTTTCTCTTCCTGTCGTGGTTGATGGGGTCTCAGAAGCAGATTAGCCATCCTTTCTGCTCTGTGCTTGGGATAGAATAGCTCACATGCTGCTAGAGAGGTGCCTTGGGAGTAATAATAATGATAATGGAAGTATTGATTTGCCATCCTCCAATAACAAAGGAAGGTCACGATTTATCAGCTCACATTAATGGGACGAGGTGGAAAGCTGGACAAACTACCTCACAGTCTGCCTTTCCCTGGTTCTAGGTTGCTGAGATTCAGTGATTTAGGGACACAGTGGTTTCCTAAGTCCTGCCAACAGTCAAACCTTTGTTAGTTAAAAGGGAAATTTCTTTTTTCATATTTTCTCACATCTAGACTCTTGCCCTCTTTTCTAATAATATTTCAGAGAGACAGTTCCCAGTTTGGGTGTCCAGGTGGTCAGAGAGTCTGGAAAAATGCTCTGGGGGCAGGAAACCAGGAAACAAGCCATCTTGTCTAGTTCCTCTTTGCTCTTGTTAGCACTAAGGTGATTTCACAACAGTTTTTTAAGGACGTTCTGCTCCTATCTCCTGCAGAAGGCTCTCCAAGTAGAAGAGTTAACTTTGATTATTCCTGGGAAAGTGCAGCAAATATAATTAGAACTTTTCTTTATTGGATATTTACAATGCTCCAGGTATCTTGTATTAAAGAAAGATTTCTCTATTTTCTATATCTGAAAACTGAGGCTCAGGGAGGTTACATAATTTGCTTAAGTTTCACACACAACATGTTAAGCGTCACAGTTAGACTGCACGGGGAGAGCCTATGTTCCTTTCACTAAAGTTTGTACTGTATTAGGATTTACAGTTTGTAAAGCACTTTAACACACATTAGTATATTTGTTGAACACCACATTCTTCAGTGAAGTAGCTCTTCTTTTTTTTTTTTTTTTGAGACAGAGTCTTGCTTTGTCACCCAGGCTGAAGTATAGTGGCGTGGTCTCAGCTCACTGCAAGTTCCGCCTCCCGGGTTCAAGCAATTCTCCCTGCCTCAGCCTCCTGAGTAGCTGGGATTACAGGTGCCCACCACCACGCCCAGCTAATTTTTGTATTTTTTAGTAGAGATGGGGTTTTGCCATGTTGGCCAGGCTGGTCTCGAACTCCTGACCAGTGATCTGGCTGCCCCAGCCTCCCAAAGTCCTGGGATTACAGGCGTGAGCCACTGCGCCTGGCCATAGCTCTTCTTGTAATCCTAATTTTAGAGATAGGAAAGTGGAATTTTCAGAAGATTTTGCAACTTATCTGTCCCCCGTGCCATATAGCTGGTAATTGGTGACGTAGAGCCTCAAAATCAAGATCCCCATAGCAAAAAGTTTATTTTTACCTAAAAAGGTATACGAATATACATAAACTTGGAAGGAAAGAAAAAAAATCTTTAGCCTCAGTTTCTCCAATGTGACTGAAAACAGAAGAGCATGCATTGAGGCCCACTATGACTTACTCCTCCACCTGTGCCTTTGGTCAGCAGGAGTGAGCCCCTGTCCATGACCAATTTCACCCCTGGGACACAGTTATACTTTAAAATATGTGATAATTAAGAAACCATATGCGCTTTTTCTTTGGGTCCTGCAGTGCTCCTAAGACTGGTCAGATTTCACTGTCTCTGGTCAGCACTTTTTTTTTTTTTTTTTTTTTCTGAGACAGTCTCACTCTGTCACCCAGGCTGGAGTGTAATGGTGCGATCTCGGCTCACTGCAACCTCTACCTCTCGAGTTCAAGCGATTCTCCTGCTTCAGGTTCCTGAGTAGCTAGAGTTACAGACGTGCACCACCATGCCTGACTAGTTTTTGAATTTTTAGTGGAGATGGGGTTTTGCCTTGTCGGCCAGGCTGCTCTGGAACTCTTGACCTCAAGTGATCCACCTGCCTCAGCCTCCCAAAGTGCTGGGATTACAGGTATGAGCCACCACACCTGGCCATATTTTCTTATTTTAAAACCTTACTTTTCTTCTTATATATGTAGTATGAATTTATTGCAAATAAGTTTGAATATATGGGAAACTATAAAAGAGAAAGTTTGAAATTATTAAAATTTTAAATTATGCAATTATGTATTTTTTTTAACTGAAAATTTGGAGAATTCAGAATATCATAGGAGAAAAACGTTTTCTATACACTTATAGATTACCTTTTTGGGTTGTTTCTTTTCATTTTCACTTTTTTCTTTTCTTTTACACGATTGGGATTATCTTTTTAATTTGTGTATCTGTGTTCTGTGTTCTGTTGTTTAACGTTTTAGAGTGTGCTTTTCCTCATGTCCTTGCATGGTCTTTTTATGCATTTTAAATGGGTGCATAAGCAGTTCAAGGGGTGGATGCGCCTTTGTTTACATGATCGTTTCCTTATTATCAGATATTCTGAACCTGGGTCTCCTGACTCTAAATCTGCTGCTATTTTTTTTTCCCCCACATATCTGTCTCTATTTCCTTTAGCTTCTTATTTGCATTTATTTGAGAATTATTTGTGATGATTTTAGGAGTGTAAAAAACAGTATAAATAAATGTATTTTGCATTACTACATAACAGTGCTAGTGTTGAGGATTTACTATGTGCCAATCTCTATTTCAATACTTTGAAGAGCTTCTCATTAAAGCCTTCATCTCCCACAACAACAGTAGATACTGTTATCATTCCCATTATATAGATGATGTCACAGACACACACAGAGGCTAAGTATCACAGCACATTCATTTGTGTCTAGCAAAACATCCAGCTTCCAGAGTCGTATACAAACAGGCATTTATTTGTTCTTAGCCATTCTGAATACGGGCAACTACTACTAGCATTTGGGTTCGAGGCTCAGTGACATCAAGGCTGTTGTCACTGCAGAACTTTTCTCTTGTGCTTCTTGGTTTTAAAATGGCTGCAAAGGTCGTAGATATTACATCCTGATTCAAGAGAGGAAGGGAGAGAAACTGATGGTGTGGACTGGTCACGTCTGCTCCTTTTATCAGGAAAGCACATTTTCTTTCCAGAATCCCCTTTGTCTCCCCAGGAGAATTCCACTCATGCATTATTGTGTTTTTCATGACCACTGCCAACTCCAGAAGAGACTGGGAAAATGACTGTTTAACTTTTTCAACCTCTGGAGTGGAAGAGAACCTGGGAAAGATTTTTTTCTTTTTTTCTTTCTTTTTTTTTTTTTTTGAGACAGAGTCCGCTCTGTCACCCAGGCTGGAGTGCAGTGGCACGATCTCAACTCACTGCAGCCTCCACCTCCCGGGTTCAAGCGACTCTTATGCCTCAGTCTCCCAAGTAGCTGGGATTACAGGCATGTGCCACTATGGCTGGCTAATTTTTATATTTTTAGTAGAGACAGGATTTCATCGTGTTGGTCAGGCTGGTCTTGACTCCTGACGTCAAGTGATCCACCTGTCTCTGCCTCCCAAAATCCTGGGATTACAGGCTTGAGCCACTGCACCTGGCCTGGGCATCACTTTTGCTATGGATTAAATTATGTCCCCCAGAATTCATATGTTGAAGCCCTAACCCCCCAGTGTGACTGTATCTAAAGATAGGGTCTAGGAGGTTATTACGGTAAAATGAGGTCATAAGGGTGGGGCCCTATTTCAATAGGACTGTGGTCTTATAGGAAGAGGAAGATTCAATCTCTCTCTCTCTCTCCTACCCCATCGCCACCCCCACCCCTCATGGCGACACAGTGAGAAGGCACAAAACTTCACCATGTTGTCATCCTAATCTCAGACTTCTAGCTTCCAAACTGTGAGAAAATAAATTTGTTTTTTT